TGTTTTCATTTAAATAGCTTTTCTTTGCCTGTTGCGGGGGGCTGGGGGACACTGGGCAAGAATAGCCACTGAGCGTCTCATTTGTGTCTCTCCAGTCTGTTACACTGTGCAGGGTCACATATACTGCTTTAAGGTATCATTCCTGCAAATGGTAGTTTGAGAGTGTAGGCATACAGTATTAATGAAACGTAAGACCTCAGACGACAGCATAGGTTAGCAGATCTCGTTCTGTCCTTGTGGCTGCTGGGGCAGATTCATTGCACTTTCTGTATCCAAGGGAATTGTTTCTTGCCATACCTCTACGAAGGGTGTTACAAGCTACAGTTTTGGTTTAAAAAATACTGTAAATCGCCATCAAGATTGGTTATAATGGATTATACAACATATTCTTCTGGAGTGGGGCAACTGGTCCTGCTGGGTACTTATCTGTGCCAAGACAGTAAGATTAGGCAGACTGGCAGGTGGGAGTCTGGGGAGCAAAGGAGTTACTGTAGGCTGCAGCAGAAACACCAGACATGGCAGGTCAAGGTCATTTATTGGTGTTCTCCACTCAAAGCAAAGATCCAAGGTGGGTATTAGCATGAACTGTCATACTTGACAGCTACCTTTGAGCATAGAGCAAGTGATAGTCCATGAGGGTGCCAGAATACAGCAGACAGAGGCTTGAAAGACGAAGGAATTATATTGATTATTATTGTACAGTTCAGTGGGATTTTGAATGGTTCCTCTTAGCTATTTACTTATTTACTTGGTTTTAACCAAGAAACACAGGATGAAATATGACCACCAGGAATAGGAACCTGTGTTCCATGAGATTTGTCATCAGACATCCTTCTTTCATAAGAGAGCACCTGGGTTATCTGTCCAGGCAGCATCTGCTTCTTCCACATAAGAGTTTTTATTTTTGGTTCAGAGTTATCAAACACATAAGATGCCAAAGTACTTGCTGATGTGAGAGACAAATCCCTATTAGGCTGGCCCTCCTCTGTTTTCCCCAAGTGCTGCAAGGAGTGAGAGAAGTCTGTTGCTCTGCTGCTTCCTCGAACCATCCGAAACATAATTCTGCTGCCGTCCATGGCTTCCCCAAGAATCTCCATTGCACTTTTCATGGCTTCCGTGCTGGTACCAAGTTTAGAAAAACATTGTTGAATTTCCTCCGGCTGATATTGTTTCTGAGTAGCAGCACAAATGTACTGAGGCTGCTTATCTACACGTCTTATGGATGAAATAGTGTTGAATTTATACAGAAGTTACACTGCTTATTTGCAGCTGTTACAAATTATTTACAGTGGATGTTACGGCTTGTAAGAACTGAACGTAGGTCCCTGTATTCCTCTTGGCACGATGTCTGTTTGTCTGAACTGCGTATTTTTAAAACACTGCTGAAGGTCCAATTTTCTTACTTTCTGACCCCATTAGCTGTTGGAAGGAGGGTTAAAAATATACAAAAGAGTGGATATCACTCTCAGACTTGTAATAGAAAGAAAAAATAAATTTATTGCACACTTTCATTGCCAGTAATTTCATGGGATAGGAGTGTTCTATCCATGTTTCTTGTTGAATCAGTAGAAGAGTTCCAAGCATGTGCTTACCTTGTGGCATGGGCACAATCCTAGAAAAGTGATGAAGGTAATACTTAACATTTAAGTAGCTTAAATAGCTGGCACTTAACACTTCCAGTACAGCAAAATTGTGAATGTGGCTGGAGGTAAGGATGCTGATTTTAATTCTGTCTAGGAGTGCATGTAGGAGAGTTCTGCCAGATGGGAAACTGTTTCCTGGGTTGGATTAAGTCATGAAACTCCAAGGAGGAGACGGACACCAGTGGTCACATGCAGAAGCAACTGTATGTATTTAAGGAAGCAGTTTAGACAAGTGGTCTCCTGCTCCTCCAGTAGAACAAAGCTACCATTACATGAGCAGTGCTAACCAGATTATATACTTAATGAAATATCAAAGCATTTAATTCAGAAGTAACTCTTGAGGAAGCAAACCAGGGATACTGAATTTTAGAGGCCATGGTCTATGCTACGCTAAATCTGGGTTTCATGAATAGCAATAACCAGCAATAACAAGAAGCCGTTACTCTTTATGAGAAATTCAGTGGAAAATTCTACGCCTCTTTGCTGACTCTACTGCCTTCTGTATCAGCTCCATGTTGTGTATGCGTGTGCAGCGGCAGGTGTGAGCAAAAGGGGGGCAGGATGAAGATAATAGCCTCTGCTACTCCCCCACTGGCATAATGTCCATTAGTAGTCAGTGATGTAAATTAGAGTCGAAGCCCTGCTGTCTCTCTTCCCTCAAGGTCACAGAACCAGCTCTGCATGTCCACCAGTCTTTACCGAAGCACGACTTGTTCATCATGGAGAAAGATAACCTGAACGTAAATCTGAGCTTTTGCTGTGTTGTAGACTGCTATGATACATCAGTAAGATCTCAGATCATTCCCCCACTCCCATTTCAGATGTCAGTAGGAGTACTGGCAAACCTGAGGTGCAGGTACCTGGGCATGGCTTCAGAGTGGTCCTGCTTCCCAGCATTACAGAAGAGGAATGTGTGTTCCTCTGTAATTTGAGGTTGTCATAATTATGCTCAAACTAGACATATGAAGTAGACTGTACAAATATTTCCCACCTTCTTCCTTCTTTACTTTCTCCTAATCCACTCGGCACCCCCCAGAAAGTTCAAGTATTTTAAGCTGAGTTTGTTTCAGGTGTTTTCTCTCTGATTTGGCTTTTCTTTCTGGAGAACCTCTGGCAAATGCAGCCTTAGGAAGAGACTTCCATTTAAGCAGTCTGTTACTGAGCTGACCCTCTGGCATATTAGTCACAGGAAGGTGACAGCCACCCCTCTTGCAGCATCCTCCAACAGCCTTCTGCTGCCCGGAAGTCTTGTTGCTGGTTGTCCTCCCTGTGACAGTGGTGTGCCATGTCCCTGAGCTGTACTGAGCCATGCTGGTGTGAGGGTTGCATAGAGACAGCAAGCTTGGAGCCTCATTTAACTGCTGCTCATTGGTGCTGCAGATGGGTTCAGCAAGCCAGGGGCAAGGGGTAGTGTTAGAGGCAGCCACATCTAAAGGACTCTCATTGCACTTGTTAATTGCACTCAGCCATGTGGCAGATGGTGCAAAGCTGGGAGGAGTGGCTGGTACACCAGACGAGTGTGCTGCCATTCAGAGCGACCTAGGTAGGCTGGAGAAATGGGAAGAGAGGAATCTTTTTAAGTTCATTAAGGGGAAATGCCAAATACTACACTGGGGGAGGAATAATACACACAGCAGTACAGGCTGGGTCCTGACCGGCTGGAAAGTGCTTGCATTGAAGTACTTGGAGGTTCCTGGTGGGCATCAAGTTGAACATGAGCCAGTCATGTGTCCTTGAGGCAAGGAAGGTCAATGGCGTCCTGGTCTGCATTAGGAAGAGCATCACCAGCAGGCTGAGGGAGGTGATCCTTCGCCTCTGCTCAGCTCTGGTGAAATGCATCTGCAGTGTTGGGTCCGGGTCTGGGCTCACAAATACAAGAAAGACATGGACATACTGGTGCGAGTACAGCAAAGGGCCACAAAGGTGATGAAGGGACTAGAGCATCTGTTCTATGAGGAGAGACAGAGAGGGCTGGGGCTGTTCAGCCTGGAGCAGAGGAGGCTCAAGTCAATATTATAAATACCTGATCCCCCATCAGGTAGAAGACAGAGCCAGACTCTTCTCAGTGGTGCCCAGTGACAGGACAAGAGGCAGAAATGGGCACAAATAGAAATACAGGGAATTCTTTCTGAAGATAATACAGTAATATTTTCTTTTCACTATGAGGGTGACCAAGCACTTGCACAGGTTGCCCAGAAAGGTTGTCGAGTCTCCATCCCTGGAGATAATCAAAAGCCACCTGGGCAGCCTGCTGTAGGTGGCCCTGCTTGAGAAGGGGGTTTGGACCAGGTGACCTCCAGAGGTGCCTTCCAACCTCAGCCGTTCTGGGATTCTGTGAAATATTTATTACACTTTAATAATCTTTTGCAGTTACACAAATAACTGCGCTTTACTCTCTCCCCTCAAAGCAAACCTGAGATCTCTGTTTTACATCTTTACAGACAGATTTTTCATGAGGAAGTTATGTACCATAACTCCATTAATTGAGTCATGGGAACACTTGTTTTGAAAGGTTTGTATTTTCCCCTGATTAAAAGTTCTCTTTAGTTTAGAATTACTTTTTGGTTGCCATCAGAATTGTTTTGGTTTTTTGCTCAAATTTAAAATATGTTTATGTTATCAAAACAAATGTCATTGTGGGAAAAGAACCAAGCGTTGCCAATGTTTGTCATAGCAGTAATATTTGATTTCCCTTGTTGGGTGTCTGGAAAACCACTTCAGAGGAGAAAATGTCATTCTAACACATGCACGTACACACACACACGTATGTTGTATGTATGTATGCCCACGTATTTTGCCCTAAATTCAGGCTATATTCCATGTTCCTACAGAACACACCCAGGTAAGGTATGATCAATACAGCTTGGGCTATCTGTTGCTGGTACTTCTCTAACCACACCTGCAGAGATGTCTTGACACAAATGATCTCTCAGTAAATATTTCTTAAGACCAGGTCCCTGAGTCACACTGCAACCTGGAGTCTCATCTTCAGTATAAAAGGTTTTTTGTGAAACAGGAAAGACAAATGCACTGTATGTCTCTCTGTTATTTGTTTTTTCACATCAAAGCCCTTGAGGTAAAAATATATTTTTCTGAGCTAGTATTTCACTTAGCAGAGATCAATCATGTTCTGACTTCTCCCTCTTGACCAGTAGATGCTGAAACAGTCAGAAAAGTAGAAGATAATATAGATTGTAACATGTCTGTAACATAGTATGAGCTTCTAATTCAGGAAATACAGTGAGTTCGGAAGTATGGGGCTGGTAGACAAGATCTGGAGTGGATTTTAATATATTTTTGTATCAAACATATAATTTTATGTCAAGTTTACATGCCATGTCTGCTTTTTCTTTACAGGGTATATACCCAGTTACTTAGACAAGGATGAGCTATGTGTAGTATGTGGGGACAAAGCCACCGGATATCATTATCGCTGCATCACTTGCGAAGGTTGCAAGGTAAATGGCATGGTGGGAAAGTGGGAATCAGAAATAGGTCTCCATCTCCTCCATTATACAGACTTCCTGAACTGTGCTGTGCTGTCAAATAAAACAAAGACAGATTAGAAGCGAATAAGAACATCCAGTACTGATGATAAGCCGTATCTGGCTATGACTCTGCTCTTCATATGCATAAGGAATATAGTTGATTTTTGCAGTGTTTGCTTCTGGAAAGAAAACAAGAAATGTAGTTTTTTGTTGTTGCTGTTTAACTGCTAGCTTTTACATTTCCATTTTTTAATGTTTGTTTGGCTGTTTTCTCAGCCAGTGTATATCAGCATACTCCCAGCAACTCCAGTGAAGCTGTTTATGCAATAGCTGAGATTCTGCCTATGGCCGTGAAGAGTCTGTAACGATTAACAGTGTTCCATTGCCTCTCATTGTCACTGCGAAGAAGCAAAAATCAAAATCCTTTCCACATGCTTGTACAACAGTAACATGCATCACTTCGGGAAGCATTGACACCCTGTTAAAAGAGTTTCAAAAACTTTTGACTTCTTTAACTTAGGCATATTGAAATGTGCTTTCAGCCCTAAATTGCATCTCCAAAGCTACATGCAAGATTAAAAACGAGATTGCCTTGGGCAAGTAAATAAATTTTTTAAAAAAGAGTAACACAATCAGGCACATCCTACATGATTTCACTGCCATAAATTTGCCTGAATATCTTGAGACCCTGTAGAGAAAGCTATTCTTTCCTGCAGAAAATAAAAAATTATCATGTTTTTCTAAACAAATGGGACCACACATGTCATGGACTAGCGTCATGGGACTAAACCACAAAAGGCGTATACTGTTCATCCCCAAAGCCTGGAATTTTTTGGTCTGAGACTTCGGGTTTGGATTGGCTTTAGAGCTCCACATCACAGTAACTTGTGTTGAAGTAGTTCCTTCAGTTGTACGGCATCACCCTAAGTTCCATTTATGAAATACACAAAGACCTAAATATCCTATGTATAGCAGGTCTGTGGTAATATTCATAATGGGCTTATACACATACATACATAATATGTATTAAAAAATATTTATATCTGAGAAAAAATGGAACTGAGCAAGTGATTCTTGCACATTTGCATCCCATAGACCAGATGATAACAATACATAAAGTGTATGAATATGACTTAATTCAGATATAATGAGAAGTAAGCGACACTGCGGCATTATGAAACATCGTTTGCTCCCAGCTGAACAGCTGCATCTCTCACCAGCTTTCCTACTAAGGTTTTTATTACCTACCGGCTATTTAAAAGAAATAACATACAAAATCTACTTTTCAGGTACAGTTCTTCTATCTGATATACAATTTAAAATAATGCTTGTGTGAACAAGGAACTGAGCTAACAATCTGCAAAAAAGTAATTTACTTCTTTCTCCTACTTATAGTTGACTTACAAACAGATGATTTTGTTTTGTTTTGATTTGTTGTTCTTCTTGCAAATGTATTCAATGTACAAGATTTGGGGTTTTGTGCGGACAATGTCAACCCATGCTTTGGGGGATCTGGATACACACTTGAAGTTGTATGATTTATCGGCAAACTTTTATGTAATCAAGCCTCAATGAATTTGACGTTTACTAGTTGCTTCCACTCAAAATCGCTTTAATTTTGTAACAACATTAATCAGGGCTGACAGCCAAAAAATTGCTTTGGCAAGTTCTTTCATGAACAAAGCATCCTCACACGTGATTTCTGAAGAGTAAATTGTAAGGAATTCAAACATAAATTAACCAACAGTGAGTTCTGACATCTTGAAGATGTTTCTCTGGACTGTACCCATTGCATCTATTGCTATATAGTGCATAGTAAAGGAATTTAGTGAAAGAATAGTTGCTTTACAATAAAATGTGCTTTCTTTTATTGATGAAAATAACACTTCTGTGATTAAGTGTTTGGACAAATATAGAGAGCAGCTTCCTAATCACATTGTGTCTAGAGATGATCAAAGAGGGTTTTTGCAAAGATTTTTGTCTGAGAAATGCAAAGAAATGGGAAGATTAAATGTGCTGGTCCCAAAACAGGTGGTGAAGACCCTTGACATTGTAAAGCTAGAGTAATGTTAAGTCCCATGCAAAGTTTGGGAAACAGAAGTTCAGTGCCACTTCCTGAGATTCATCAGACCTTTTTCCATCTCTTGCTGTAATTAGAGATTGCCCCATGTCCCTGGTTGTTCAGAGCCATCTTTGATCTTCAGGGAGGAGAGGGGCAGGTCTTGTCCCTAGGAGTTTGTCACAGGGTTAAGAGTGGATCCAAATCCAGTTGGATAGATGAGAGGTTGAGACCTGATGCAAACCCCACATGAGGACGTCTTGCCTGTGGTTTCTTGGATTTTGTCTCAACCCAACAGGTCCCAGTCTTGCAAAGGCTCACACACATGCTTTATGCAACTCAGTTTAATCGAAATTTCAGGTCTTACAGTTTTTAAGAAAGAAAGAACTGTACTCTTAGCTCAAGCTGGATCTTGTAAGATAAAACTCTAGTGAGAACAAGGCTCTTTATTGTCTTCACTGGAGTTAGGAGCTCAAGCTGAAATACAGATTTATCTGTATGTCTTAATTCAAAGTTATGTGTTAAAAGAAATTACATGCTGCTGTAAGATTTTACTGGGTGTTATTTAACGTGATTAAAACCAGACCTTTTGCCTAGTGAATTGAAGAGACTATTCATTAGATAAAATCCCAGCTGAAGAGACTATTCATAAGGTAAAATCTCACTTGAATTTTGCCATTGTTTTCACTGAAACCAAAGCCTTTCTCAGTGGCCTCTGTCAAACAGGACCAGGGTCCCAGTGTGTTCTCTATGTCAAGGTGGTCCCAAGCTGCATTGCTGAATGTAGATGGTCTCAAACAATGGTGAAACTTGGTATAAAATGAAGTCTGAATTTCTTGCTTCATGGCCTATCTTGTCCATATTGTGCAGTCTTGGGAAGTTTATCCAGCTCTTGTGGAAGTCAGTGAGAAAAGTCATGTTGAAATTAGTACCAAGATTGTATCCATAATGTTCAAGTATAAGTTGTATCTGATTTCTTTATCTAAGGGCAGGGTCTATGGGGTGTATAAATCAGTTAATTCAGTGGAGCTACATTAGTTTGCATAAGCTTAGGATCTGACCTCATATCCAGGTTGCAATTGGCAATATGGATCTATATTATGATAGATAGATGATAGATAGATAGATTAGATAGACAGACAGACAGATGGACAGACAGATAGATAAATAGAATGGATTTATATAGAGGAGGATCTTTTTTGGTGATATTTGTTTTGAATACAGAGGTCTGTGGTAAATATTAATTAAATCCTCTTCTCAGGAATACAGTTAATTTTAAAATTATGGATCCATTATTTAGAACTAAACTCAAAGATTGTGTAAATTTTTTTTGCAGAATTGTTAGTCTTGCCCAGATTTGGTTGGTTGGTTGGTCGGTTATTTGTCTGTGGTGGAAAGAAAGTAGAACTGTTTATTGTAGCACATACGCACCACTATTCTTATTGTTTGCAGAAGCTGCTCTTTAAAAGTATGTATATGCCTCTTAATATCCCTCAAAATGATTATGTAATTTAGAAGGGGCCTTGAAATAAACTCTGTAGTTCAACACACAGAAACATAAGACTTCAAGAAGACATGTTAGGCAGTATTTGTTCCTCCAGACAATATTACTTATGCCTTTACTTACCCAAGATGTCTATATGTTTTTAATATCTATGGAGGAAATATTTTGTGAAACTCAGAAAAGAAACGCCACACACGATAAAATTGGCTTGTTCTCCTCTTTGAGGGTTTCATGGAATGAAGTATGTTATCTTGCATACTTAGGTACATTCCTACCAAACCAAAGTGGCTTCCATTTTGAAAAAATTGCACTATGCTAATGCTTTCCAATGTATTTATCTATTGCACTTAGGGTTTTTTTAGAAGAACCATTCAGAAAAACCTCCATCCAACCTATTCCTGTAAATATGAAGGAAAATGCGTGATAGACAAAGTAACAAGAAATCAGTGCCAGGAATGTCGCTTCAAAAAATGCATCTTTGTTGGCATGGCAACAGATTGTAAGTATATTTTTCTGTTTTTCTTTCTCTTCTCTTTTTTTAATGTGTGTGTTTGCTTGAAGTATGTTGATTGGTGAAGATTGTTAAAGTAGAGCAGGACTGCCAGCACATTTTTGTCTCTAATAATTTGTATTGGGGAATCACACTCATTGCATCAAACCACTTTCATAGGGCTGTAATTTTTTGTTTATCCTTCACCAGGCTGAGTAACAGTAGGAATGTTCACTCTTTGGAGGAGAGGAGGGAGAGATGCATCTGGATGGACACTTTGCTTGAAAAAAAAAAAAAAAAGAAAAATATTGTTTAGAAAATTCTGGAGGATGTGAAATTGAATGTCGTTGTATGAGTCATCTTGCAGTTGTTTGTTTTATTTTTAGCCCTGAAGAAGTTATCTACTGCAAAGAATTTGACTCTCATTCTAAAGAACTAGAACATATGGCTGTAAGATTAACCCTTAGGGGTCTTCTTTTCCTGCCATTGCACAGGGATTTACACCGATAATTTCAATCAGTGCAAATGGGAGGAAGCAACGTAAATCCTCCGTTGCATTAATGTTAATGGCTGTTGCTGGTGTAATCCTCTGCAGAGGAACTGACAGGGAAACAGGCCCAACAGACAACAGAAAAATAGTGTATTTCGTTGGTAATGTAATGTATAACTGTCTCTTCTGTCTAAAAGGAAATAGAAGAAATGACACAATTTCATTTCAGCTGGGTAGACCTTCAGGAGGGTGCAGGGCTGGATAACTCTGGGTCCCTGGTTTGCACCCAGCCCAGTCCGATGCTGCGGGCAGTGGTGAGCATTAGCCAGGTAGCGGCTGTGCAGAGTGAGAAATTTGTCCGAGTCTGGTTCTGACAAGCTGCTGACAATGCCATGAAGGTGGTATGGCCTTCGTGGGCTGCACCTGCGTGTGCACCAACGGAGCTGTCACGGAGCATGGCAGACAGGCCAGCTATCCCCCAGCTCGAGAAGGGTTTCTCCCACCTTTGTGTTAAAATGTTGAGAACAGAAGCATGTAAGCAGGGCTTTTGGTGCTCCCACCTGCCTGCCACCAGCTGTGGATCAGAAGGGTCCTCCTCTGCTAAAGCGGGCCCGTCTGTTTAAATGGCCTCTTGACATCTGCATGGAGAGCAGGATGAAACCTTCTGTGGTGGTCAGAGATGTGCGGGCCTGGGGCCCATGTGTCTGGCATCACTGCAAATAGGGGGCTCTAGGGGAACGCTACAGAACAGCACCATTTGTAGGGCTTATGGAAAGAGCCAAAGGCAGGTTATTTCTGAGCGTGTCATGCAACAGGTAGTTGAGCCCCCCGTGAATAAGTTCTCCCAATTTCTTAAATCCACATTACCTTCTGCTGGCTTACAGGAACACGTTCTACACAATTCAGAGCAGTGAGCGTGCTGATATTACTTTAAAGAAAACAGAAGTGCATCCTTCCCAAAATGTCCAGGAGTACAGGATTGCTTTGTCTGAGTCCTCACAAAGCTTTTATGCGTTAGTTTTATTGGTGGAATAAGCCACTGAAGGCAACAGTAGTTATCCCTCATGTTACCAGAAGGGTAAGTCGTTCTTTGCAATCCAGGCTTCTGAGAAAATGAAGTTTGGAGAGAGGAATAAGAGAACTGTATCAACTGCAGGTCTTACCAAAGTACTTCTTTACTGATGAGTTAAAGTCTTTGTAATCAAGTAGTACCTCAGGCATAGAAAACACCAAAGTCTAGTCAACTTTAAAGAACTTCTTGCCATTTTTGTATGCTTTTTCCGCTGCTAGTGGTGTTGGATGACAGCAAGCGGTTGGCAAAGAGGAAGCTGATAGAAGAAAATCGAGAGAAGAGACGTCGGGAGGAGCTGCAGAAAACAATTGGGCACAAGCCAGAGCCAACGGACGAGGAGTGGGAGCTCATCAAAATTGTTACTGAAGCACATGTGGCCACCAATGCACAAGGAAGCCACTGGAAGCAGAAAAGGAAATTTCTGGTAAGGACTATAGGCTTTTATACTGCTCTTGGAGCCAGATTGCTTGCTTTCTTCTGAAGTCCCAACATTGCAACCCTAGAGAGGGCCTATCTGACAGTGTATTGACATACATGAAAATTCGATTATAATTAGTGCTTGTTTATTCTTGCCTGAAGCTCAGTGTTTGATTCAGACCATGTATTTCAAAAGATAAAAAGCATATTGCTGAGTTAAGGCTTATCCAGCTGGTTACTTTTAATATGCTATGATCAGAAAAAAACAGAAAAATTATTTCACTCCTGATTAACAGCAATAGCAGTCTATAATTATACTGTATCTTTTTTTATATATTATATCTAAGGATAGTTGTCTTTATTAGGGAGTAGCATACAACATATTTTAAGTGTTACAACAATTTTAGGTTTTACGTGAAAGCTGATATTTTTTATTAATAACTCATGGTTTTTGCTTCCTTATTCCAAAGTAAACACATTAATTAAAATAATTTTGGCAAAGAAAAATGAACTTCAATGAAATCAGGAGAATACATACACTATAGCATTAGGACTGCAGACTACAAGACAACTTGTTTTCAGCCTATAACCAAGGATCAGGAAATAAATGGTGATTTGTGACGCTCAGCCTTAGAAAAGGAATTATTTGATTTTTCTAAATCAATTTTTAAAGGAAATAAGTGCAGAATAATGCTTATGCAGCACAAAAGAGGGATTATGGATTTCATGTCAGGAATACACAGGGGTCTTTAGCAGTTGATGTATACCAAATCAGATAGAGAATATTCATTTTTTTTTACAAGCCTAGGCTCCTGCTGCTTAATTCACCATGGGAATCTCGACCCACTGTTAAATTGCTAAGAGAAGTTATATATTCAAACCAGCTGATCCCTTTTATAATGTTTTGTTAATTCCAGTGACACTGTCTGAATTTCTATATGAATGGCTGCATGTTCATAGTAGTGTGCAGTCAGGAAACCACAGCCAGTGATCATTGGCAAGAAGCAGCAGAGCACTTGCTGCACAGCAAGGTTTGCAGTGCTGGTTGTAGCAGACCAAGAAGCAGCTGCAATAGTGCACTTGGTTGCTTAGACAAGGAGTGCTGTGGGTATCGCCCAGTTTAGGATAAAGCATGGGGAGCTTGAGGTTAGGGCTGGGAACGAGAACACAGGCAGAAAGCTGTTAGGGACTGGACCATGTAAAATGTGGTTGCTGGGCGACTTCAGGCTCTGGAGACAGCCACAGCGGAGGGAGAGACTCCAGCAAAGGGTGCCCAGAGGCAAGGTATGAGATGGTGTGATGACAGGGCTGTTGGGAGAGGGGAGGGATGGGGCAGAGGCAGGGGAGGCTGCTCTAATGGGCAGTTCAGAAACCAGGTGTGACTTTCACAGCTGGTTCCTAGGCCAGACCAAACTGCCCTTGGTGAAGCCCTTGCCACAGGGCCTCTGGTTCTTAGCGGTGCTCACATGCTGAAGCCCACTGGTTTCAAGGCAGGTGTAGGGAGCTCACTCACACGTTGTGGTGGGCACAGAAGGGAAAGTCCAGGATGGCCTGCCAGCCCCAGGTAGAGGGCTTTGACAGTCCCTGCTATAAGCTGTTGAAGAGCAAGAGGAGCTGACCGCATACCTCAGGAGCTGTGGGTCAGTCCATAGGCAGCTGAGGCTGGTTCTTCAACAGCAGGAGATCTATTGAGGTCTGGACCTCTTTTCCTATTGAGGTGAGTTAGGTGGCAAGGGCTCTCCAGTTGCATGCCCTTCTGGAGTGTGTTAGCTTAAAAAAATACTGTGTTCTTTTTTTTCTCCCTAACAATGTTTTAAGCATTTGGTCTTCTTACTTGGAAGTGATGAAGGTTGTTTATCATGAGCACACAAACACTGTGGTTTAGTTTCCCAAGATTCAGGGAGGGAGGGAACCTAGAACTGGGATTATTTGAGTTTTTTGGTAGGAACCATCAGATAATTGAGCCCAGTCCTCTTCATTGTTCCTCTACAATTGGTGCTTGCTTTATTAACACATTGCTGAGTTTTTTCTTGAAAGAAGTTAGATTTGGATTCAGATTGGTGACAGAGCTGTGGAAGGATCTTTTATGATGTGTTCCTTTAAAAAACTGCCAAGACAAGTTTTTATGATAGACAGCACTTTCAGCACCTGCACTACTTAAGTGCACTTATATAAATGTCATTAAGTCCATCAGTCTTAAAGACCTTCTTCTGTGGGTTTTATCCAGTTTTTGACACTCTAATGTGAACAGAATGGAAGCTCTGCATTGTGGTTGGCGGGTCTCTTACAACTGCAAAGCCACACTTGGAGAACAGAACAGCTTTGGTATGCCTGTTTTTAAAATACACAATAACATTGACAAGCTGTCATAAAATCCAGTGAACAAGTTGAAGTGCAGTCGGATTAAAAAAGCCGCTCACTGCAGATTCTGCTTGAATCTATTTTGTTGTATATTCCTATTGAAATCCTCATGTCCTAGTTTTGGCTGGGACAGAGTTAACTCTCTTCATAGTAAGTAGTGTGAGTCTGTGTTTTGGATTTGTGCTGAGAAGAAGGTTGATCACATACTGATGTTTGTAGTTGCTGCCAGGACAGTCAAGGACTTCTCATCTTCTCTGCTGTGCCAGTGTCTGCAGGTGCAGGAGAAGCTGGGAGGGAGCACAGCCCCAGTTACTGGTTTAGGATTTGACCTTAGGTTTAGGATTGAGACCCAACTTCACCAATGGTCTATTCCATATCTGGCACATCATGCCCAGTATATAGATGAGGATCTGTCCAGAAGCTCTCTCTCTCTCTGGGTCACCCTGCTCTTGGGGTTGTCTCGCTCTCTTGGTCAGCTCTCAGCCTCGCAGGTGCTCAGGCTCTTATGTATTCTGGAATTGCAGTTTTGGGACTCTCTCTGCTCTGGGATTGTTAGCTGGGAACAGGCTGAGCCTTGGTCATCAGGTGGTGAGCAGTTACACTGTGTATCACTCATTTGTATATTTGTATATATTACTATTATTAAAATCGTTATTGTTTTCAATTTTATTTTAGTTTAGGTATTAAGTTGTTCTTATCTCAACCCACAAATCTCTTTTTCCTTTTCCCCTTTAATTCTCTCACACCCATGCTGGGGCTGGGAGGGAGGGGAGGGTGAGTGAGTGGCTGTGTGGTGTTTTCCTGTTAGACAGGGTTCAAAACAACAACACCTCAAAATACGACTTCTTTCCTTTTTCAGAGAAGCCTTGGGCTGAAATCATTCAGAAGGTGATTTTCAACCAAAATTTTACTCAGACGAGTTCAAATTCTAGTCTCTAGTCCCTTTATCCAGACTAGCTTTATGGTAGTCCATTCTTAGTCATCAGTTGTTTTAGCCTAGTTTTGGAAACATGCCTTGGCAGTTGCCTGGAGCTCTGTGGTACCAGGCAATCTGTTCTGGGGAGGATTTCAGAACTTCAAGTAGGTGAAGTAGCTCAATTCTGCAAAGCTCTAAGCATCTTCTCGGGGCCACAAGTCACCTCAGCTCCCTTCACTTTTAGAGAAACTTGAGAGTTCTCAGCACCTATAAGAAATGAGAACATACCTATATTTTTAAGCAAAAAATGCATAAGGCACACCCATAAAATATTCAGATACAGGTGCAAGGAAGAAACTGCATGTGCACAAAAATGCAGCTGCCCACACAGGATGGGTAGCAGCACGCCAGTCACCAATTTCTCTGTGCAGTCACCTCTTTCACAAATGCCTTACAAGCAAATTCACATTTTGTGGCATTACTTATAAAGTGAATAGTGTTATTTTTTATTTTAGCGTATCTTCCGCCACCAAGCAGGACTTGAGAGTATAAAATACTTGCTCTAAGATAGATTGTTCCTTTAAATGTCTTTCTTTACATCCTTAGCCAGAAGACATTGGACAGGCACCAATAGTTAATGCCCCAGAAGGTGGCAAAGTGGATTTAGAAGCCTTCAGCCAGTTTACAAAAATTATCACACCAGCGATTACAAGAGTGGTGGATTTTGCCAAAAAGTTGCCTATGTTTTGTGAGGTAAGAAAACTTCCTTGCACTCCTCATTTATATGCCTGTTGTTAAAAACTGTTCAAAATACTCCTGGCATGGAACTAAAAAATTCACTATGTTTAAAATCAGAAAAAATAAAGAGACTCAAAATAGATGGGACTAGATTTTTGTGAGTTTTCTTTTTCGTGTGATTACTGAAATCCTGATTTTGTTCATCTAGAAGTCATCGTGGTTCATTAGGGACTCAAATGTGTCTTTAGAGGTGGCCTTGAACAAAGGAAATAGCAAAAAGAGACTGTCTAGAAGCATCTTTGATACGCTTCATCAGATCTTCCAGCACACAGTTACCTCTGTGCTTTCTGGCTCCTTGGCAGGTACAGTATTGTGGAGTTGGGTCTAGACAGTAACAAATTCTTCAAATTCAGGAAAGCATCCCCATCCAGGAATGGCACATGCTTCATTGTATTCCTTAGGCATGTTTTTCCTGAAGGTTGTGCATAAGAGTCTATAAAAGTAATGGATTCTAGGTAGATTCTCACATGCAAAATATACAGTAAATAGACTCAAATAGACTTGTTTGCACATTAGGAATACAGAGGCCCTAGGCTAATTTCATTTATACTGAGGTATCATTTTTATTGAAGGATCAGATGCAATGGCTGATGATATTTTTTTTCTAACTTAAAAAAATGTTATGAGAACAGCAGCCTGAAATAATATTTCATTCTTTATAATCTTAATAATATTAATGTTTTTAAGTCTTATGAGTCCCTTAGAATCCACAACCATGGGAGTTTTAGTATGAAAATAACCCAATCTAGCCATGGAAGGATCCTGCTGGCTTGCCCACACTGCAGAGCAACACGTGTGCTGGTGAAATGCCAAGTGAATGACATTCAAAATGAGAGTTACCATGGTCAATGAGTTCATCGGGCTCCCTAACTCACGAAGAGTGTTTCCTCCTAATAACTAAACATCAGTCAGGAAGGAAGTTTAAGGCAGCCCATAGCATTTTGCTCTTCTGTGGTTGGCAGCTTTTCTTTAAGGTCAGTCAGGGAGAGCTATTTATGTCCTCTGGCACCTACAGGACAAGAAGAGGTAAATATCAATAGTTGGCATAGTGTAAATAGCTCTCCCTAGCTAACCTCGGCATTGGCTCCATCAGCCAAGAAAGCATGAAGTAGTAGCCAAGCATGAAGATTTTAAAATACAAGAAAGGTATCAATAGATCAAGAGGCCCCTGCAGCATTCAGTGGCTGAGGGAATCTGTCTCCTCTGCTTTGGTGTTTGTTGGTGGGAAGTTGCAGTGACATACCAAGGCAGTCTTTTTAATAAATTTAGAAAGCTTTGCCAGTCACACACAGACTGCAGTGCCCATCTAATGTCTCCTACCCCTCCTGGCTACCATGGGCCCACTTGTGTCAGAGCCATGCAGGAAGCATGGATGAAGAAGTCAAGGTGTCTTTGGGCATGACCTCTGTAGGTTATGCAGCTCGGCTAGGACAGGCCTAGTTTACAGCTGAGCCACTGTGTAGACCTGACACCTATATACAGGAAGGTTTGGTGGCAGAGTGAGGGACAACTCCTCATGAACACAAAGGAATAGGACAGCTGTCCTCCAGGTTGTCATATAGCTCCTGCTGTAGCATAAAGAAAATTACAAATGTTTGCTCCTTTTTGAAGGGGCACTGTCCTCTTAATTTTATTTCAGTTATGGTTTTTAACTCATATCTTTTTCTTAGAAGCAATGCTGTGTGGGCTGTGGATTTGTTTATGAGAAAAAGCCCTCCTTTCTCCCATAGGACCTGCAGAGCATTTAAACATTATCTCAGTTCTTAATTTCCACAGAGGCTCAGGCTGAGAGTGGAGTAAATCTCTATGAAGGAGGGGCCATGGCAAGGAGCACCCATGGCTACTAATATATTCACGGCTCCTTTTCCTTCTTTCTGTCTTCTTCGGACACGTGGACAAGCCAGCAAAGCACCGTTGAGGGTCCAGCTTAGTTTGTGTGTATCCATTGGCCCGTGCATCAAAGCAAGGACCTAATTCCAGAGTAATCGAAGTATAAGGAAAACTTTATTTACTTCTCAGCATTTCTGATGTTGTTTCCTTCTTTTATTTCCTTCTGCTCAGAAGGTGAAAATTGAGGAGCATTTAATCAGTTTGATAATCAAGTGATGAGTGAAGGTAGCATTGAAACCTGTGTGGTTGGGAGCAGAACTGATGTTCAAGTGCCCTGTCTTTGGTAACTGCTGCTACTGGCAGATAAAGCCTGAGGCTCAGCATCCATGAAACAGGTGTCCCGTGTATCCTTCAGAATTAGGAAAGCAGGTGAAGGAAGGGCATGGTCAGATCACCACTCCCATAAAGAAGTTTTGAGAAGGTTCAGGTAGGAAGAGAAATTCTCGTTGGTTTCATTAAACTAATAGAACAGCTCAAGCATCATAAAATATCTTCCCTACTGTCATTTGTTTGTTTCTTTTTCATTATTCTTCCTTCTTAGTCTTTTTTTCTTCATTTCTCTTTTCTTCTCCCTTCCTTTCTTTCAAGTCCCTTTTTTCTCTGCAGTTGCCTATTCCAATATATCTTCGTGGTTGCTCTCGCGCATCTGTTTCTTCTTCTGTTTCTTTTTCTTTCTCTGTTTCTTTCCTTACTTCAGTCTCAGCAGCCAAACAATGGGTAGTGAGACTGCCACTGTGCCCGTGCAGCCTTCCCCGCACTGATGCTGAGCTGAGTGTGATCTGCGGAGAAAGTGATTTGCCCTGAACAGGATGAGTCATTTTTCTTGTGTATCAAACACTTTACACTTGAAGTTGGCATTGCTGGAAAAATAGCTGCATGATTCAATTCCTTTTCTGACTATGGCTAGCTTTGTGCTTAAAACCCTTCTCTAACAGGGAACTGCTTTCCACTTGCGTTAGGCATCTACTCTACATCATTTTACGTTAAATCAGTGTACATCCTTTACCAGCACGCAGTTGCCACATAAACCTATAGTTGGTAGGGCTTTTTTCGTTTTGAATTGCAAATCATGGAAAATACAAAAACGTCATGGGAATCAGAAATGGATGCATTTTTGCCTCCTTTAAACCTAAGTAGAAATGAGTTGCTTTTTCATATGACCTTTGCTGTTCATTTAGTGACAGTCTCAAAATAGTCTTGGTGGGTTTTGCTATCATTGGATTACCTATGAAAACAGAAAGACATGCTTTACAGAACACAATCTCCTAATGTGTCAGCATCCTGGTTATACTTCATAAATACAGAACCTACCTCCACCAACTTGCACAGCTTACCTTTTTTAATGTCTGGAAAAGACAAGTCTAGCCACAGGACCTGAAGATCATGGCTTATGCACCAGTGTAAAAGCTGGAGCTATACCATAGGTTTTCTGTCTGTCCAGCAATAATGTAGGGAGTTTAGGGAGATCAGCCTTACTAGGCTAAATACAGCTTAATAAGCTCTCTGTTGTTTAAATTACAGTGGGAATTTAGAGTACATGCCTCACTGATTGGGGTATCTCTTCTAGATAAAAAATTTATATCATTCCTTTTATTTAAAAAGCAGTCCACTCTTACTGACCCTCCCAAATGTCTTTCTTTTCCTCTGGTCAGGTAAGAAGCATGGCTGGCAGTGAGTTTAACTGGGATGGCTGAGGTCTGTACCAGCTCTGATTATAGTTTATTCTGTTATGCCAAGTTGTAAGCTGAGGGAGCTCAGGAATAGAAGAGAGAAGGGTAAACAGCTGAGAACAGTGACCACTTCAGCCTTCTCAGTTAGATCCACCCCTGATGGGAGACAAAACCAATAGTATATGTTACCACCAGCCTGGCACCTGACAGGCCTGCTTCACCCATCACACTTTGTGAAATGTTCTGCAAAATGGAAAGCTGCGTTCTTAAGGTTTACATTTTTATAACATTCCCACAAACTGAGTGGTCCCACAGAGAGCAGCACTTCTGCAAGTTGGGTCACTTCACCTCAGTATCTGAATCAACTTGGTTTGCTTTGAGTATCTTGCCCAGGACCATGTGCCTACAGCTGTGTCATCACTAGATTTCCTAAGGGGATGTGAGGATGCTAAACTGCTGGCAGTTTCTGGAAGCAGGAGTGTGTCTTGGAGGTTTGTGAGTCTTGGAGGTTTGTGTAGTGCAGTCGGTCAGCAGTGTGTGGAGGGAAGCTGCACTGTGTGAGTTAGAGTCCTGGGCTGTGAACGACAACTTCATGCTCATGGATTTATTGCAATTGTAAAACCAACTCAGTTTGAAAAACGTATCTTCTTTACTGTTTATAATTTCTGCAGCTGCCATGTGAAGACCAGATCATCCTTCTGAAAGGCTGCTGTATGGAGATAATGTCACTCCGAGCAGCAGTTCGCTATGACCCTGAGAGTGAGACTTTAACACTAAATGGGGAGATGGCGGTGACAAGGGGCCAGCTGAAAAATGGGGGTCTTGGCGTAGTGTCTGATGCCATTTTTGACCTGGGCATGTCTCTTTCTTCGTTTAACCTGGATGACACCGAGGTTGCCCTTCTTCAGGCTGTTCTGCTGATGTCATCAGGTGAGAACAGAAATATATTGGGACCCCAACTATTTTTCAACTCTTTAGTCTTTGTCACAAGCCTCTTTTTAAAAAAAAGTATGGTATGTTAGATCTTGTAGTGCTGACTAGAGTAATGTGGGAGAAGTCTTCTCTCCAAATCCCAATGCAGCTTAGAATTAGTTTGGTGAGCACTAGGAAAAAAATTCAGGGTATCCAGAGAGATGGGCATAAAGGTGGCTTTGGTAACACCCCTTGCTTGGTTTAGTACTTAGGGAGGAGGCTGGGGTGATCATTAGAATTAAGTCAGATCTGGTTCCGAGCCAATTTGCCTTGAATGAATGAACTATTAATTTTGCAACAGTTGTCATTTCATTAAGTTCCCTTACCTTCAAGATCATGTCATGCACTGGGCAGTTCATACACATTTCCATCGGTCTCATATGCTTAGCTTGTCCTGCCTTCTTGTTTTCCTACTTAATGGCACCGCGGCTTGCTAACGGACATTTGAGACCTGTGCTATTTCCCCACACTGGGAGCATTTGCAACTGGTCTCTTGGTGGCATGATACAGAAGCAGCACAGACCATTTCGTGTAATTTCCAAAGTTTCTTCCCTTCTCGGATCAATTATGTTTTCAAATATGCTTCCACTGACTGTGCCAGCCCAAAGAGGAAATTCCATTCTTGGGCAGTGGCAGATTTGGCAAGATTTTTTTTTAAGAGCACTTTGAAGATTGGGCACTAAATAGCAATACACAGTGATTTACAAGCATTAACTGCGTCTGAGACAGAAAAGTTTCCACATTAATCACAACATAGCACTTGACCTTCCCAGTCAAAACTTTATTATTTCATTTCAGTTCCCTAGACCGTGATACATGAATAGTGGTTTCAGAAGGTGGTTCAGAGGACCTGCTTTCCCAGAAGTGTCAAACGCCCAGTTGAGACAATCGACCAAACTTTTGGCCTTGGTGCTCCATAACAGTTTCCTTTGCAGCTCATGTGTGGATCAAAGCTTGATCAGAGCCTTGGGCTGACTGTAATGAAACAGATGGGAAAGAACTGTAATTTAGGTACCTGGCAAGGAAATTTTTTTTTGGTTCTTTATTAGTTCTTTCACAGTAAGATATGGATAGAAGCCTTAGCTGAGATCAGGGATCTGTTGCTCTAGTCACTTTAAGGAAACACTTCCTGGCTATACTCTAAATGGGCAAAGCAGGCAAAGGATGAAGAAATGAAGGATTATCTCTTTGTTTTAACAGGGATAGCACTGATAAGTGAGGTGTCTGGGGTCAAAGAAGTTTTTTGTGGCAAAGCCAGATGTCCTTGGTCTCCATCCTATCTTTCCTAACAACAGAAGCGTCCTATTTTTCCTGATTTATAATCAGGAATTCATTAAGGGTAAATAAGTAATAACAATAATTCTGCTTCTTTGTATCTACAGATCGCCCAGGCCTTGTTTGTGTTGAGAGGATAGAAAAGTGTCAAGAGGGTTTCCTCCTGGCATTCGAACACTACATTAATTACAGAAAACACCATGTTGCACACTTTTGGCCAAAACTGCTGATGAAAGTGACAGACCTGCGAATGATCGGAGCCTGCCATGCCAGCCGCTTCCTGCACATGAAGGTGGAGTGCCCTACAGAACTCTTCCCTCCATTGTTCCTGGAAGTGTTTGAGGATTAGAGAGACTGGAGCGGTTCTCTACCCGCCCCCCGTCGCACTACTGGCTGTCATTTCATCCCGACTCTTCTCCCTTCTGTTTGTTCTTCTTGTTTCATTCTCTTCTGTTTCTTGAGGCAGTGTTGGGGTTTTGTTTGGGTTTTTGTTTGGGGTTGCTGGGGGGGCAGTTGTATACACATGGATGAAAACATCCCTTTAATGCAGGTACTTGTGACTATTGCAATTTGTTCTTCAGTCCTTTGATGTGAATGCTTTGACAGCTTAACAGTGAAAGTACAAACAGACCAATCTCATTCAATCCAGCGTAGTCACCAGCTCACACACGTCATTGCTTGGAAAATATGGGAGAGAAACTGAAATGGCAGAAAATAAATTGGCCTCCAAGTTAAAACACCTATTGTTAATTTGACCCTGGCAATTTTGTCTAGTGTTACCTCATTTTGCAGGGCACAAGTGACAAATTAATGAGATGAAATTTCTAGTCTTCATGGTTGTTTCTATTGTAAAAATCACCATTTTGATCTAGGATGTTCATCATCATCATGATGCCATCATTATGTGAGGATTGTTCCAGCAGGTACAGTTTAACTGTGCCCCATAAATCAAGTACTTAAAATAATGCAGAGTGTTAGAAGGGACTGACTCCTTTTTTTTTTTTTTTTCCATGTGTATAAGAAAGTAAGATCCTTTGGTTCTTACTACATTTGAACTCCAGGTAAGGAAGGTCTGTTGGAGTAAGGAGGGGAATTTGATCCTCTGAGGTGCTTTTCCTGAGAGTAGGGAGGTCTGCTTTTTCTGAGGTGTGTGGAAAACACATTCCTCTGAGACAGAAGGCTCTCTGTCAGGATCACAGGCTTCCCTGGGAGTTATTCAGGGATATGAATGCTCCCAGAATGAGGACAAGGAGAATGAAACATACGGGGTGACCTTCAGATGGGACAAAAACCAACTGTGTTATTAATGACACTCAAGACTGTACAGCTTTATCCCAGTAATACAAATAGTGTTGCTTGGCAGTAATCTTGGTTTTATATATATAAAGTTTATATGCATA